TTATAAGCCGCACTGCCGATTTTGGATCAAAATTTAGGATTTTTAGTGCGGCTTATGGTCGTGAAAATACGGTATATATATACTGTTATTACAAACTCTTACTTGAGTTTGTTGTATTGGAGGCAAGGATGCACCTCCTTTTTCCCAAAAAGAAATGGCATTCAAGTTAATTTTTGTTGAATACATTATTGAAAGTTCATGTTGAGTGAAGGTAAAATATTGATACAGGCTATACATTTTCACACAGCTGTCTCTCTGTAGTTACAACTATGATTAATATTACATCCACATACATTATCTGTGCCAGTTTGTGATAACTTTCAGATGTTTTTCATACTGTTAAGTTTAAATGTATTTCTCTTCTTCCAGCGCTGATATCACTTTTCAGTATTCCTGTTATTTATGAGAAACACCAGGTGAGTATGCAGTTGTGGCATGCTTATTGATATGATAATAAAATAAATAGCTTATTAAAGAAACAAAGAATATATTGTGTATGAAAAGATGAGGATTCTAGAGGACAGAATTCCTACTATTGTAAAGGACAATGCCTGCACTACTGTTATAGTTTTAGGAAGAGTTAAGTAAGACATGAAAGGTTAAATAGGATTATCCTATCTGGGCAATCCATAACCCGTTGCTATTATCTAGTGGTCATCCTGACTTTTATTCCTCAGATGTGGCAGCCCTAGGATTGATATTAAAAGTAAAGAGGCTATATTTCTTTGGTTGAGAACAGCTTGAATGAAGCATTTGGAAAATTCATTTGGTTTGGATTTCATCTTTCAACATTAGGAATCCCTTCTTTACATTATAATTTTTTATAGCTGAGAAATGACAGCGCCCCTCTTAAATGAAATAAGAAAGTATTTTGTAACTAGCTAATATGTTTTACCTCAAAGCTTTACAAGATAGGAGCAAGAATATTCCCGCCCCCCCAAAAATCCTTTTTTCCCCAGAAAATGGCTTCCTCTGTATATGATAGAAGTGGAAATATCTTCAAGCATTATTTCAAATGTATATTTATAACAAGATTTTGCATAGTCATAAACTAAATATTTTTGTACAAAATGCTAAATAAAAAGTAGTTAAAATAGCACAATAATTTCATACTTCTGATGATGAAGCTGATAGCTGATGAAATAGCTATCAGTTTTTTCTTTGGAAAATCTGGTTTATTCAATATTTTTCAAATGATAGAACAGCACAGTTGTGGAGCAACCAAGAATTAATTAATATGCTAGAGTTCAAATGTGAATGATTGGAATTGAATGAACTAAGGCAGGAATTCATATTTTTGCGTGTTCAAGGTTTGCAGTGGGGGTGTGCTTAACTATTTTCCTTTCTGGGTAATGCATTGAGATTTTTAAATTATAACCATCCTAAATCTATTATAGGGCTTACATTTCAGTCTTTGGTAGATGAATTGCAGAGATCCACTTTGGATTAGTGGTTAAGGCAGGAGGCTGGAAATTGGGAGACTGTTGTGGTTTCACCTTATGCACAAGACCATCTGGGTGACTTGGGACCAGTCACACTTTCCTAGCCCACAGAGCAGACAATGGCAAAAAACTGATGAAAATGTTTCCAAGAAAAGTGCAGGGACAGTCCAGACGGTTACCAGAAATCAAGATTGACTCAAGGGCACCCCAGATGTTGTATTGTTTCCATTCATGTAATTTCTTGTGGTTTGCTTGATTTTGTCTTAATGTGATGCTAACCGCATCATGGTTTTTCATTATGTAGAAACCAAGTAATTGAAATAATGTTTTAATTTGTATTTCAGACTCAAATTGACCATTATGTGGAACTTGTAAACAAGAATGTGAAAGATGGCATGGCAAAGTAAGTTTATTACATTCTTGTAGCTACAGTCTGTCCACAGGTTACAGTGGCAAATTGGAACCAGAATTTTCATTGCAAAACAACGTGGTCATAAAGAGCAACATCATATGACCACATAGAGTAGCAATGACAACCCATTTGCTAAACAGGAAGAGGTGGGAGCCCCACGCAAGGACTGTGGAAGGGTGCATTTGGACGTGCACCATGGATGCAAGTGAGGGGGGGCAATTGAAGGTGGCCATGAACGGGTGCTACATAGTTGTGGATGGCGGGGGGACATTGGCAAGTGGGGATGCTGTGGGTGGGTGCACACTATGGAGGGCAGGCAGGTGGTGCTATGGAGTAGGAATTCCCTGAGATCTCTTACTCTGTAGCAGGGCTTCTTTGGAGAAAAAGTGGGAGTGACTTATGGGAATGACTTGCAACATTCCCTTGTGGCTTCCTTATTGACTTTGCTGTGGGAGAGGAGGGAAGATTGCAAATGGTGATCACATGATTGCAGGACACTACAACCAGCGTAAGTGTAAAACAGTTGCTAAGCACCCAAATTGAAATCAAGTGCTACGATGGCTGGAACTTAAGGAAGTGGTTGCAAGTACCACTCGTTCAGCTCTATTGCAACTTTGGTTCTTGAGCAAATGGTTGCAACTCCAGGATCACCTGTAGTTTCCAAAGTAACTTCAAAACCCAGCCGTAGACATGACTGTAAAATAATAAGTATGTTCATATATAGTGATAAGTGACCATAGTCACTTGATATGCCTGGATCCATTTTATTCGCAGTCATTTTAAGTTAGGAACAGGAGATGCAAACAGAGTACTTCTGTGACATGTAGAGCTTTTTGAATTTAAAAGTTTGCACACTTTTAATACTGGTGGATAATTAATGCATTAGATTGTAAGCAGTTGGCTTTTCTTGGAAAACAAGGTTTGAAATCTAGTTTTTTTCCCCTACAGGGTTCAAGCTAAAATTCCTGGATTGAAGCGTAAAACTGAATGAAATCAAGAAGCAACTTTTATTAAAATAAATCATCTTTTAAGTGGGGATGGGAGGCATATTCATTTGGATTATATGGGGAGGGTCAGGGAATAGCAAGCCTTGACTTTGCAGTGCAATTTCACAGATCTTTATTTTTTAGGAACAGTGTTTCAGAGGGAGGAAAATAATCTGTTCTTGACTGCTGTGTGTATGTCCATCCTAAGTATTGTAAGCTGCTACATATGGATTTAAACCTAATCCTCTTTGCTTCTCCCATATGCAGCACAGGTTAACCTAACCATTTGGAGAGCTGTACATTTTATGCTTTGGCCAAGATAGTCTTGTCGTGTTTCAAGAAGGGTTAGTGTATGGAAAACATTTCCTTTAGCACTGTCTCTGGTTTGTGTTGATTGATTGCAGATTTTCTAAAATGAAATGTTTAGAATGTGCCATTAAAGCAAGCTTGAAGAGTCTTGCCTTGTTGGTATCAAGTTTAGCTGTACTGTGCTTTTAATTCTACTATTTTATCAATTGCCAATATAAAATTAAATATATAGTGTGTTACAGCTGCTTAGGATGTCCAGCTCCTCCATAGTGATTGAAATACTAGATAAATGAACTGAGGTTTTTTTTTTTGAGCTCCTTAATATATTAGCTTAAATTTTCAGAAAAAAACTAGTACCTATTAAATAAACAAAACCAACTCTGCACATTACAGTTTCTGCCATATCCTTTGCTGCACAAACTCCTATAGTCTATTTTAAGTAAACAAGTTTACAGTTCTCAAAACTATGAATCTGTGGAATGAATTTCTGATGATGTGATCCTCAGATCCTTGCAGGCAGAACAAGGAGCCCCCGGCATGCTTGTTTTCCATTGTGCTTGGAATCCTCAGCATCTGTGCATGGGTCAGTGGATTTTACCCCAATGCTGCAAATGCCATTTGGACATTTCAAATACATGTGGGGTTTAAGCTGTATTGAACTACGTCTGTGGGATGCATTGTGAAATGTAAAAAGAAAACAATTTTGAATTATCAATAAAGTGTATGGACTCATATGTGTAAATGTGATTGCACTTAACATGCTATATCATGCTTCACAACTAAGCGTATGAACAATTATCACTAAAAATGATTGATTTATACCCAACATTAGGATTTCTGTTGATGTGGTTGACTTATGCATATGCACATTACTGCTTGATTATCCAGTTAAAGCCATAGTTATATTCTAGTTTAGTACCACCTTAATTCTCAATGGATTTTGCTGAAAAGTAATCAGAATTTTTTTGTGTATAAATGCAAAATGTAGTATCCCAACCAAAACAAAGCAGCAAATTAAATGCAGTTTTACATGATGCAATGTATCAATTTGGGGAACATGTTTTAACTATATTAAATGTAATATATCTAATATTACTATCATGCCACTCTTTTTAATAACAATTCTAAGGAACATGTTTGTTTAAGATAATGTGATAAAAAATGGTTGAATATTAAGGCATTTTAAAAGCTTTGTCTTGGAATAAGTCAACCACTAATATTTTCCTCTGTTCCACAAGAAACATATTGTTCTTTCCAGTATGCTGGATGTTCCCAAAGAAAATCTGGCATCGGTTTTCAAATAATAAAACTTTTACTGAATCATTTCAAAAATAAATTCATGCAGTACTATTTCAATTTACATTATAATACAGCATCAAATTTAAGCATAAAGTTCTAAATGATATGAACAAGATTTCTTCCACACACAAATATATTATTCATCTTCACTTTTCTTGCACATTTTGACTATACAGCAGCTCATTCTGTTACAGATTCAAGATGCACTCCATATGAAAGGCCAGTATTACAACAGAGGCAAACAAGGTGACCACCTGACATCACCAGATGGATATGGTTACATTGGCTAAAACGGGAAACTTTCCTTATGAAAAATAAAAGACTAAGACTGCATAGGACATATGTATGAAATAAAGGAGTATAAGGCATTAACATATTGCATTAATCAAATAACACACACACAAATACAGCAGTCCATTAAATTTACAGAAGCACTTTTGTGTTGTATACATTGATTATTATATCAGAAACATGCCCCCTTTCCCTTTTTGCTTGCATCAGTTCTAAAAGGAATTTGTTCCCTTTTAAAGAATCTATACCTTCAACCTGATTCCTCTAATCTTCAATGCAGACTAGGACATTTCCCTTTTTTTTTTCACCTCGCTACCAATTGTTAAATAAACTAATGCTACAAAGAACTGAATCTAGGATTGTTTCACTGCACGAGTAACAGAAAGTAAGAGTTGTGCTGGACAAGATCAAAAGCTACCTTAGTCCAGCAATCTATTTCCCATGGCCTTTGGGAAGCCCACAAGCAGGACATAATCTCAATAGTACATTCCTGCCTGTGACCATCAATAGTTGCATTCAAGTGAGGCATGTCGTCTATGATATTGAAGGTAAAAGTATCATCCTTGTCATTAGCCACTGAAAAACTGCAGGCTTTAGCAATTGCAATAAGCTCCTCAACTTCTATAGTTAAATGGTCCCCTACNAGTTGATTTAAATCAAATACACCCTGCAAATGAAGCTTCACACACTTCCCCGCCATTACACAGCCCAGTTCCAAAGGTAACCCTGGGGGTTGGGGAACCCCATTCTATAGGAAAGTAAGGTGGTTGCAATACATAGGGATCATTCAACTTATAAGAACCCTTTGTGATGGCATGAAATAATATAGTCTCATACATGATCACCAGCTTCAGTGAAAAATAGGATTTACTTAGAATTGACAATTCCATAAAAAGGCAGACTATTTTTGTTTGCTAAACAGGAGGACAAATCCAAATCTTATTCCATTTATTTACATTAGAATATTGAAAGATTTATAGTTCCAAATTCTCCATATTTTTAAAAAACTTGAAAAAGTAGGCTAACAACTTAGGTAGAAATTTATCTGAATAGAATATTTTATTTGTAGCTAACAATATTTATATAAAGCAGTGTTTATTAAACGAATCATTGTTTACTGAGGGATTCCCAGCCCAACAGGTGCCTAGTAAATATAGAAATAATTCAGAAACAACTCTTAAACACAATCCTCTCAATTCGAGGCAACAATAAAAATATAGGCTTTTCAGTATCTGCTCTTCCCAACCTGGATTTTTGCATATGCATGAATTACAATTTGCATTCTCTCCAGCTAGCTTGTACAGTTCTGACTCTTGTATAGGGAGCATTCCTTTTTGAAATGGAATACAGAGTTTCCACTTTGCTTGTTTCTAAAATGGCACCAGCCATTGGACAAATAGCTTAACATATTTTCTAGTAGTCTGGAGTTTCCTCGCTGTTGGTGAGAGGCAGCTGCATATATTGGAAGACCTTTGTGTGTCCTATCAGGAAGTAGAAAGATTTGGTAATTACTGTAGAAGCACAGACACCAACCCTAAAATGGATGCCAGGAATGGTGAGCATGTGGGGTCCTGACTTGTGTGAAATGAACTTTTGAATGTTAAGGGATTTCATAGGGCTATAAGCATGTATCAAGTCAGGGGAAAATGGGATAGGTAAAATAGCATTGCAGTTGCAAGTGTTATTTTTTAAAAGTTTTGCATAAAGGGATTAATGTTTTGCGGAGACACCTTTGAAAAGTGAAAAAAAAAGCTAAATAGATGAGCAATGCATGTGAGGCATGATTGTAGCAGTGCTATTTTTAAATATACCACATGACTTCTTGCTTATCAAATGTAGCTAGTTATCTTTATTTCAGAGGTCTGATTGCTTATCTCCTGAAAGAATGACATTCTTGTTGTTTTGCATTTTTTATTTTAAAAAATTGCCTCTGAGTCAGTAATAATCTAAGCAGGTCTCATTTTTCAGGGTGCATTTAGCTTCCATTTTGAAATGAAAGATGATGCTTTTTTCTGCAGTGTAGCTTAAGGGTACATTATTTTAATTATATGTCATCATGAATTTGAAAATAGCTTTCCTGTAAGTTTTAGTGTTGAATATAGAAAAAAAAACAACACACACACACACACACACACACACACACACACAAACACATAATGTGTGCAGGCATACATACCACATGAAATGTAATTTTAGTTTTTCACTACCATGTGCACCATGTATGCTGGAAATTGTCCCTGTAGGGGTGTTTTTTATAAAGAAATAAAATAAATGATTATAAAGTTAAACAGCAAAAATAAAAGGGCTAGAATACTCAGATAGCTAAGTAATTGTCAATACTTATATGTTTTATGAAAGAGACCAGAACTTAATTGACATTATTATTGAATTTAATATATTTTGCATTCGGTAGTCTATATGTAATGTTTCCAACATTTATTATCTAATGCAGCCTTCTTTGTAAGTTTGCTTTGATCAAAGAATATTAATGGGGAAAAAGAAGCAGCCTTGTTATCATCAGCATTTTTGTAGTTCCACATTTTATGGAAATACTGCAATGTTGCTAGTGCCTTTCATAAATCATGGAGAAGCAGGTTAATATCTTTTAGAATTTAAGCATTCTTTTTCTAAATAAAGGTCTCCAGATGCTGGTGAGCACATACACAATTTTGCAAACAAGATGTAGTTGCTCACAAAGCTGGTGGCCCAGAGAGGTGCTTGCTCCTTCAGAAATTGGAAGCCATTATTCATTTGATTGTTTGTTTGTATCCCACTTTTATTACTTTCTACAAAAACTCAAAGCAGCAAATATACTCAAGANCAGGTATTCCATTCACTTGCTTGGATAAAAAACATGCCACCTACTTATTTTTTTGCCACTTTCACTATTTGTTCTCTTTTCTCACAGAAGCTATGAGGTGGTGTTCCAAAAGGTGAATAGCTTCAACTCTACTATAGCTAACCATGCTCCTATCATAGCAGCCATTACATTGTCAAACTAGTCATCTCAAAATTATAAAAAAAACCACAGTTGTACCAGTGATTCAAAAAGATGAGTGAATCTCACTTTTTATTTGGTAACAAAACCATGATGAAAACAATAATATACGGGTGATAATGCCTTACTTGCAATCCAGTGCAGAAGCAGTTGATAACCCATATTCTCTGCAACCCATTACCCAGAAAGGTTTTACTATGGTAAACTTGTTTAGAGAAAAAAGATGCAGACTTTTCACAGCAAAAGATCAGAAAAATCTGCACATCTTTTTTTTAATCACTTCTAATCGTATTTAAGGGATGCAGTGGCTTAGTGGCTAAGATGCTGAACTTGTTGATCAGAAGATCGCCAGTTCAGTGGTTCAAATGCCTAATGCCACATAACAGAGTTAGCTCCCGTTACATGTCCCAGCTTCTGCCAACCTAGCTGTTTGAAAGCATGCAAATGCAAGTAGGTAAATAGGTACAGCTTCAGTGGGAGGTTACTGCATTCCGTATTTTCATGCTGGCCACATGATGATGAAAGCGTCTCAGACAATGCAGGCTCCCTCAGCTAAGAATCGAGATGAGCACCGCCCCTTTGAGTCAGTCATGACTGGGCAGGGGAAACCTTAAGATTATAGTTGATAGGACTAGCCCTAGCTGGTATTATTCTTAATGGGATTTAGAAAAAACTATACATCATGTAATAAAACCAGATATTGGTATTATAGTTAATGGAAAATGCTGCCAGCCAAGTGGCCAAAATGGCTGCCTTGCAAGTAGCTTTGCTTTGTAATAAAGTTTGATTTAAGAGCACAATATATTATGTTACATACATGTGATACTTTTCATTTTGGACTTAATTCATGCACAGGAAGGCTTCAGTCTTCTGGCCGTCAGGCTAAGACATGGCACTTGTGACAATTTGAGTTTGAGACCCTGGACTTGGCATTGTATTCCTGAATATTTAATTTGGCAAGACAGATTTTTAGTACATTAGAATAATTATTTAAAAGTCAATATCAAATTATGTAATATTTGATTTCCCCATGGTTGCATATATTTGGGGATGTATTACATAGTCTAATTGTGTCTTTCATAAATAAATAAACAGTTCGAAATCGCAGCCATGCTGAGATCTTGAACGGTTTCCATGCATTTACTG